TTTATTTTAAATGTAATATTTATTCAAATAAAATTATAATAAATAAAAAATTACACTAAAATAAAAATTTTAAAGATTAAAATAAAGAAAATTATTTAAAAAAATTATTTAAATAAAAATTATTTAAATCCATTCATTAATCAATTAAAATAAATAGAAATTTGGAAGAACAAAGTCATCCAATGTAAAGCAGACTTGAGAAATCTCATTGATCTTTCTCCTCTTCTTAAAGGGATAGTTCACCCAAAAATGAAAATTCTGTCATTAATTACTCACTCTCATGTCGTTCCAAACCCGTAAGACCTTTGTTCATCTTCAGAACACAAATTAAGATATTTTTGAGGAAATGTGAGAGCTCTCAGACCCTGCATAGACAGCAACGTAGTCCAGAAACGTAGTAAGGACATCGGTAAAACAGTCCATGTGACATCAGTGGCTCAACTTCAGTTTTGCGGAGCTAAGAGATTACTTTGAGCGCAAAGAAAACAAAAATAATTTATTCAACAATTATTCTCCCCTGAGTTACGTCTTCCGCCATTTTAGAGCGTATCACAATGCATACTCACGCTTTCCCCTAAGCGTAAACAACGCAGATTACGCAGATTACGTTCATGCGCGCACTTTCTCTCCTGAACGTAAACAACGCTGATTACGTCGATTACGCTCTTGGGTACTCTCCAAAATGGCGGAAGACGTAACTTGGGGGAGAAGAATTGTTAAATAAATTATTTTTGTTTTCTTTGCGCTCAAAAAGTAATCTCTTAGCTCCGCAAAACTGAAGTTGAGCCACTGATGTCACATGGACTGTTTTACCGATGTCCTTACTACGTTTCTGGACCTGGGAACATTACAGTTGCGTTGCGGTCTATGCAGGGTCAGAGAGCTCTCACATTCCATCAAAAATATCTTAATTCGTGTTCCGAAGGTGAACGAAGGTCTTACGGGCTTGGAACGAGGGTGAGTAATTAATGACAGAATTTTCATTTTGGGGTGAACTAACCCTTTAAAGCACATTCTGGTCCCACCATGGCAAAGTGGTATTGCCGCTGTTGTTTTTTTTAAACTGTGCCTGTGTGACAGATTATTTGCTGATCAATAAAAGACCCTCTATGAAGGCCTGGAAGTCAGCTCACCCCACGCGATGCTCTTTGACCTTATTGAAGGCCTGACTGAGCAACAACACTGCTCTTCCCATGAGGCCCCTGGAGGCTCCTGTTTCACTTGGCCAATGAAAGGGACTACTGTAAATAATGGGGGCCTGTTTGACCCCTCCTTTGTCTGTGGCAAGACCCCTGCATCCACTCTACTGTAACAGACTAACCTTTCACAATGGAAGCTCTCATGGCTCCGAGACCCCACTACACCCAAGTCAGGATTTAAAAAAGCACAGTCAGACCTCTCGACCGAGCTCTCTATATTCTAGAAGACAGCCTTTTATCTCACCAACCCACCCATACCCCCAAGGAACCTCAGTTTCTTCATTCTCTAAAGGTGTACTTGCTGATGTAAGTGCACCGAATGCTTCTTTCCCACAACGTAACACAAAAACCCACATCTTGAGAACCTGCACCGCAGGAGTCTTATGTGTAAGAATAGGAGGACAGATAGGGTGACCCTACCGTTGATGGAGAAACCCAGCTCAGGCTTGGTGAGGAACAAGGTGCAAGTGTGGAATGAGGTCAGAGGCTAAGTTATTCTGATGCACGCGTGAGGATGCAGGAAGCTGAGCCTCTGAGATAAGGCTTGATGGGCTGATAAGGACACCAACACCTGTTGAGGACTCCAGCTCTTCTCTAGTTGCACAAAAGCCAGACTTTGACTAGCAGGAAAAAGTCTTCTCGTTTAGTCCTTATTCTGGCCAAAAACTGCCCACTTAGACAGGAAGAGACCAGATGAATGACGTGTAAAGTGACCGAGTTGCATACAGCGAGCTAACCAGATTGATACTTGCACACTGAAATGCCTAAAAATCCCAAAATGCATTAGACAATGCAGCATTGCCTCTTCAAAAGTCGCCGCTGCCAACCCCAAAGACAGGATCAATGTGACTTTTCTTTCACAGGAAGGTCAAACAAAGAGCACGGGGTGTAAAATTGCTGGGCGAGACATTGGTGGCTCGTGTAGTGGATAAGCAGAGAGCCTCCGTTCTGCTCTATGCTTAATGGTGTACAGCTCGTCCTGACAGCATCATCAGTTTCCTTCTGCCACGGACACAAACAGCAGAAATGATGCCGTGTGAGTCATGACGTGTCACAGTGGGCAGCCCTGGTGATCAGTCCAGTAAATGGAATGGCTTTTGGACTCCCAGACAGTGAGGGAACACAAAAACACTTCAGCCTGAACTAAAGGGAGAGAAAGCTCTCTGTGTAACACGCCAATAAAACTCAAGTGCAATTTTGGTGACAGGTCAAAAATTGTCTGAGAGACACAGGGTAGAAAACTATATCAATTCATCTGCAAAAAAAAAGAAAGAAAAAAAACCCATTTCGGTTTCTTGTCTGTCTCGAGCAGATGGGGAGAGAGATGAAGAAGTGCGTGTCACTGACAATATTGGCTGTTCGTGGCATGAGAAACAGACACTGAGGTAATTAAAACGTTACAGGGCCATTTTAGTTTTATAAAACGTTTACAGACTCAGAAAGCCCAGCGGTCACAACGTATGTCAAACAATGGCGATTTACTGATGGCCATCGCTCAATCTGGGGCTAAATGAAGGTAGTGCGCTTAGTGAAATAATCTCTGTTATATTGAATTAGAGCTCAGATGTATTTGGTAATGTAAGTGCAGGGCATGGCCTCTCGCTCAAACAAGCTCTCTTAAGGCCAAGCCATTAATCATTCATCCTGTCCTGCTAGTGATCACTGCAGGCGTCTTCAGTCAGCAAATACATAAATCAATTATGGTTTGAGCTTTATTCTACCATTTATCCAACTGATCCCCCTGGATTACAACATGGCTTATAACGTGCCGGTTGGCTTTCTGCATTCGCTGAGAGTTGCCATCCCATATCACTCAAATGCCTCCAGCAGGAGATAATAGAGGAGAAAGAGAGGGAGGCTTCTTTAGGCCATGTCTAAACTAACTCAATTTCCACCCCTCACAGAAAGGGGGAGAAAGAGAAGAAGTCAGAGAGTGTAAGAAAAGAGATGGGGGCTAAAAGACAGAGAAAACACTGAAGGGGTGCTGGCACTAAAAATATGAAAAATTCACTAAATAATAAGCGCTTTCATGCGGTGTATTAAAAACCTGCGCCTTAAGGTCTGGTGACTGGTCACATTTACCATTGTATAAAACGAAAAACCAGAATATCCAGTTATTTCAATAGGAAGCAATCCATGCAATCAGAAAATCTGAATGAAGGAGAAAGATTTACCTACAGGTGCATCTCAATAAATTAGAATGTCGTGGAAAAGTTAATTTATTTCAGTAATTCAACTCAAATTGTGAAACTCGTGTATTAAATAAATTCAATGCACACAGACTGAAGTAGTTTAAGTCTTTGGTTCTTTTAATTGTGATGATTTCACACTGGGTTCAAGTTGGTCACATGAATTCACCACAATGATCAACAGACAGCTGCTTGGTTTAATAATAGACCTTTTTGCCCGCAAAATTTTGCTGCATACGAAATGTGCAAAAAGACATGCCAATTAAGCTCTGCATTAACACATTTTCAGCATTACCTGATTTGCATTTCTTTAGTGAATTCTTTAGGAACAATAACATCAACAACAACAATAAAAAAATCAGCACACTGTAAAAAAAAAAAAAAAAAAGATAATATTAAACATTGGTTTTTCCATTAACTACTCAAAATAATGTAACCAATTTCAACTTCAATTAAGTTATACAAGATTCAAGTATACTTGTACTAACTTGAACAACTGATTTGCAGCAACTGAAATTAAGCTGCTGGATTTTTTTTACAGTGCACTATGCAAAAAAAAAAAAAGATATAAAATTATCGTTTTAACCTTCTTTATTGATTTACCTCTGAGCAGTTAAGCAACTAAGAACTACCATGCTTGGCATTTCAAGCCCAGGTTTTTCCCATAAACTAATGCTCCAACATGCAGCTTGGCCGCTTCCTACCTGGTCCGACATCACACAGATCTAATGTGATGGGTATTTTATGACCCCCTCCGTAGCACACTTGTATCGCTCTATCGGGGGCCCCTTGCCAATCTCTGGCACCCCATTCAACAGGCAACAAAGGAGCTAATTAGAGCCCCTCTCGGTGGAAGCCCGAGGAAGGTTCTGATTTGATACTTCCCGGGGATTCCGGAGCCCCAGCAGTGCATTCACACAGCCCTCGTGCACGCTTGGCTTGGCCCTTTGCTCCAGACCTTCATTGTACGCAGAGCTCGGCAGCCCCTTAGAACTAGCAAGGGGGAACCGACACGTCTTCTTTCATGTCGCAGGAGCCAGAAACCAGATGCTAATGGGATATTGATGGGATTAAAACACTGTACTTACTGAAAAGAGGAACCTGTGGTATATAACGTGGCTGAAATAAAACTGGATGTTGACTTTTCTTTGAGGATACAAGAAGTGTAATGTATATTTTAATTAAGATATTTAAAATACTATTAAAGGTATAGTTCGCCCAAAAATGAAAATTCTTTCATCATTTACTCACCCTCAAGTTGTTCTAAACCTGTATGAGTTTCTTTGTTCTGTTGAGCCCAAAAGAGGATATTTTGAAGAATGTTGGTAAGCAAACAGTTGACGGTAGCCATTGACTTCCTAAAAAAACAATCAATTGTTTGGTTACCAATATTCTTCAAAATATCTTCTTTTGTGTTCAGAGGAAAGAAATTTGTTTAGATTTGAAACAACTTGACGGTGAGTAAGTGATGACAGAATTTTCATTTTGAGGTGAAATTTCCTTTCCAGACAAATACAGTGAAAACAAATCTATAAGGTCAAATAGTTACTAAATGATAGAGATCATTTTATAGGGCAAATGTAAAGAACCAGAAGTTACAAGGCAATAAAATCTTTAATTTTCTGTAAAGTGGCAGTACAGCAACTATAGCATTTTCCCATCAATTCAACCGAATGAACTGATTCAGACTAGCAGTGAATCTGATTTCGGACCAGTCACACAAGTGAGACAAGACAAGAATAGGGCCAAAAAGACAAGCCCACCTTCTATGAAACACCAGCGTTTTATCTCGACCAGCCGGCTTTCGCTTCATCTACATCACCACGGCCACTGTTTAAATCTGATTTTGATGCACGTATATGCGCATCTACATCTGTGGCGGAGCAGAATGGCTTCAGATATATTCGCAGATGGTTAGTGTGCCACCTGGCACCGCAGTGGGCTTGCAGCGCCCTGCTCTGTCTGTAATCCTTCCATCTCCAGTTGCAGAAAGCAGATAAGAAAGCGGCCAGTGAAAAGCACCTCAGTGAAAAAAGCCTTGTGAGCAACCGTCATGTCTTTTTACTGGGCATGCCAGATGCCTATCGCTTTAATAATATGGCGCAGCGCTGTCTGCGTTTACTTTTATTCCTTATTCATGTGCGAATCAAAAAGTCTCTTATTTTCTACATGCGAGTGCCGAACCCAAACCCTGTGTAGGTGATGCCTTAGATACGAGTAGACAGAAGCGAATCAAATAAGAGTTAGGTGGCGAAATTCACCTGATGGACTGCTCTGATACACGAATCAACAAACTTGTTTTCGTCAGCGAGGCTCTGAAGATACAGAGCTGCAGTCAAGGTGCGCAAGTCCAATACACATGATGCAACCTAGTGTTAAGTCTTTAATCGATACATCTCTTGTCTTGACAGTGAGGACAGAAGGCAGATTCCAGATCAGAGGGGTGGCGGTGTAAATCTTTACAGTTCAAGCGGGGCTTTTAAAGCCTGTCCATAATTGGGTGCCTGCCAGCTGCTGCCGTATGTGGGCTGCATAGACAAATACTAGCATCTGAAAGAAAAAGTATTGAAAAATACACATATTTCACAGGCATTAAATAAATATGGTTTGCTTATCGCTAAATAAAAACATAAATGTTTGTGATGGCATATTCTATAATAATATACAACAATAAATTAAAGGGTTAGTTCACCCAAAAAATGAAAATTCTGTAAAAAAAATGAGATCTGTAAAATCCATGTGACACTAGTGGTTCATCCGCAATTATATGAAGCTACGAGAATACTTTTTGTCAGCTGCGTCACACGGATACACTGTTTCCATTCAGATCAAATCACAACAAAGTAGGAAACAGATCCGGCGTGACGCAGCTGACACAGAACAGCATACGTTGTTTACGTCCAGCGGATATTCTCCAAAATGGCACCAAGGTGATGTGGAAGGGAAAGAATTGTTGAATAAAGTCGTAATTTTTTTTTCTTTTGCGCTCAAAAAGTATTCTCGTAGCTTCGTATAATTGCGGATGAACCACTGATGTCACATGGATTATTTTACAGATCCCCTTGCTACGTTTCTGGACTTGGGAACATTTCAGTTGCGTTGCGGTCTATGCTGGGTCAGACAGCTCTTTTGATTCCATCAAAAATATCTTCATTTGTGTTCCGAAGATGAATGAAGGTCTTACGGGTTTGAAACGACATGAGGGTGAGTAATTAATGACAGAATTTTCATTTTTGGGTGAACTAACCCTTGTGTGAAAAAACCTGTGAATGAATTCACACTACTTGGTTGAAAAGCTATGATTTCCTCTTTCTAAAGGGTCTTCCTTACCACCGAATATTGTGAGAAAGAGAGTAGCTTTAATTAGGCAATGACTCAATTTCACTCTCAAAACATTAACAAAACTAATCTCGAACATAAAATAGGCATTTCAGATTTTTAGACAACTAGACATGAGAATCCTAAATTTCACAAGACAAAATTTCTTGTCCCAGAAATGTATTGAAAGGTCAAAATCATTTTTGGGAGGCATTATTTCCATTTTCAGAGCAGCTATGAGGAGTTTCAGAAACTTAATTGGCTAACTTGACCAAGTGAAGGGTCCACTTGTTTGAAGTCTCTTTGGCTTAATTGCAATCATTCTTAATTACCATAAGGCTTTAGAGTTAAACACCACACTATCAAATCAGCTGGCACAGAGGACGTTTCATTTTTAAGGCGACCTAAATGGATAACCTGTCCAAGACTTTCCAGGACATTATGCCTGGGCATTATGCATGTGACATATATACAGTATATCCACCATATATCACACTGTATGGCATATAAATATGGCATATAACTGAAAGTCCAGAAATGTATTGAAAGGTCCCATTTTAATGCCCAAAAATAAAAAAGTGGTTTAAAGGGTTAGTTCGCCCCAAAATTAAAATTAGGCTGCGTTTTACTCACCCCCGATGCATCCTAGGTGTATATGACTTTCTTCTTTCAGACGAATCCAGTCGGAGTTATATTAAAAATTGTCTTTGATCTTTCAAGCTCTATCGTTGTACTCAGCAGGTGTTGCATTCCTTCAGTTCAAAAGACGTGAAATAAAAAAGCATGACGTATGGGGTCTGAAAGAAGAAAGTCATATACACCTAGGATGCATCGGGGGTGAGTAAAACGCAGCCTAATTTTCATTTTGGGGTGAACTAACCCTTTAATTTAGTAAACCTAGGCAGATTGTTTGCGGATTTAGAAATAATTTTTTTTCTAAAAAAGTAAAAAATTATGCAATTTGTGTGTCAGGTTTTATTACCAATTTAAAATATTTCTCGTAAAAAAATTTTTAAATTTCACTCATTAATAGGAGCTCTACTTGTATGCATTAGGGATGTGCATCTCATGACTCAGGCCGATACGATACGCATCTCGATGCATAGCCAACGATACGATACATTAAAGATACATATGAAGCACCAAGCAGAAAGGCTCTCTGGTTTTATGACAGCTGTACCTTTGCAGAACAGATAGCAGAACATTAGAACAATACAATCTAAAATTGCTCTTTAAAGCATTAAAATAACTAAATTAAAAGTTAAAATCACTGAATTAAAATGAAAATAAATAATAAAGAAAATGACTTCTAAACTGCTATAAGAAACACACATTAACTCATTTGACTTATTTGACATTTAACTTAATTAGTACTGAACTAGCTTACATTTGATTTACAGTTACTGCTATCATAAAAATTAGAGCCCGACTGATATGGGTTTTTTGGGGCCGATACCGATATTAGGGAGTTAAAAAAAAAAAGGCCGATATCGAGATATCGGGCGATA